CAGTCTAAAACCTGTAACGCCGTGCCTGTATGATTAAACATTGGTCTTGGCGCTGTGTTGTAGCCCTAGAACGACTTTCAGCATGACGTCTGGAAGGGTTTTAGTTTGTTTGGAAACGATTCCACATTCTTGCCACCACACTTTGAGACACTCCAAGGTCTGCTGCAACCTGACGTTGAGACATGCTAGCTTGCAGCATCCCGATGCCCCTATTCATTTCACCGTCATTTAACCGTTGTCTGGTTCGTCTTTGTGCCACATTAAAACAAAAACACGCAAAGAATATTCATCAAATTGATTTCCTTAACAATTTGAACAACGCCTTACTTAGCCTTGCTTAGCTTTCGAAAGGGGTGTACACGTGGAAAAGCGTGCACGCGCTTTTATGATTGACTGAACACACCCACACAGGACGATTTGGAAGGCTAACATATTCGCCCAAAACAGTACTTAAGGAAAATATAATATCATTTCTAACATTTTGATTTGTTTCTTCAAAATATAGGTGATCCTTAGCACAATGTGAGTAGTATATAATTGAAATGTATTAAGATATTGACCTCTTGTAACACACCTTGTGTGTCAAGAGTGTAAAACATAAATCTTGAGATCTACACAAAGTGCACACCGTTCACTTAATAATTTTAATGTTTATAAATAAGCATGTGTTTTAATTGATTTTGTGAGCTAACATATCGTAGAGTGGGTGTAAACATTGGTAAATTCTGTTATCACTAAAATATTATTGTTATACTAGAAGGATATGTGCTCTGTTTGTTATGGGGAGAGTTTGTCAAGTGCATGTATATATGAAGATTATTGTTGATTTAACTTTCTAGTGAACTAAAACATACATTATTATTTTGGATATTTTCAGTTTCAGAGGACTTTACTTGGCTATTTTTTCCACTTGATAACCCTTTTTTAACGCCCGTCAAATTTGACGGAAGTATTATGGTATGGGGTTGTCCAGCCGGCCGGCCGGCCGTCCGGCGTTAACTTGTGTTTGTCCGGGAATCTCCTCCTACATTTTTCGACCGATCTCTTTGAAACTTGGTATACAATATAATCATGATATGAAGATGTGTCTTCATTAAAAGAATTTTGATTCGACAATTTTCCCAAAAGTTATTGCCCTTGGTACATTTCAGTACTTGATTTTTTGAGATTTTCTCCTACATTTTTTATAGCATGTCAGCTAACCACTCTTAGAATGATGCAGAGATATCTTATTTCAATGAAAGAAAGTATATAACACTATATTGCATTCGATGGGCGTATATTGTTCCGCCCCGCGGTTCTCTTGTTTAGTTTATTAATGGTAAATGCGTGATCTTTGATTGGTACCTATTGCCACGTTATAAAACAGAATTCAAAACGTTTATAATGCAAACTATATACGAAATGTTCGTTTGGCATACTCTATCGATTAACAAATTTCAAAGGTGCTATCATCTGTATGTGTGTTGCGTTTATCTTTGATTATTAGTCCTTTTTATAAAGGTTTAATATGATTAGCAGTTAGTAGTTGCTTTAATTTAATTCATTTTTGGAATGATCTATTTCTCTTTCAACTCCCCGTAGCGGCCGCTGTGTACGGCGAGGTTTGCATGGTCAAGGGTGAGTGTAAAGAAACTATGTGTGTTAGCGGTATGGTCGAATGTGCGTTCACCAGGATATGCACAACGTTGGTAAGTATACAACATATAGATACATAATTTATACATGTTTGGAGTATTCAAAATGTGTTGATGTCATACCATACAATGCATGTGCACATTATATTTGGGGAATGATTGAGTTACGTTTGACTGTTACCATGATTTAAATACACGACATGATGTCAGACTATTTACTTGATGCTGTGATGTACTAACATTGTTAATTCTTAGGAAAACATTTTTTTTCTTTCTGTTGTTTTTTCTATTTTTTTCTTTCTGTTGTTTTTTTCTTTTTTTTCTGTTTATAATACGTTTTAAATGTGTCATGAAACTGAAAACATCGATACCTTTCCATTGACGGTAAAGTTGAAAGTGCACTAAATATCCTCCTCCTCCCCGCCAGCTGGAATATGTTCAACGCATTTCTGGCTGTTAATGTTGCAAAAGGGGCAACTGTGTCATAACTTTTTTGCATTCTATACAATTACATAACAATGCTTTAATGCCTCAAAATGAAAAGAATTTGGAACAAGTGTTCGGTGAGGTTTCTTTATATACTAGTGCATGTTACATACCGACAACTAACTTTTGATCACTGTGTCAAGCATGTAGTGCCAGGACTGACTGCCAGATGGATTCGATGCAGATGAACTGTGACAACACTTTGAGACATTGTGTGGACGAGACCTGCCGTTGTGAGGGCAAGGAACACAACCATGGACTGTTCACTCACCCTCCTCATGGTGGAGGACATCAATAGAGGTAGGTCGTTTCATCAATTAGACTTGTCACATTAAAAATCATCAACAATTTCTATATATATACATTAAAGTCTTGGTGAGCATAATTTCTAAAAAGATTAAACACAACGTAGTTAAATCAGAAAAAAACCTTTCCCTCATTGTTATCAGGGCGACAACACTACTTCAGACGAAACGTTAAACAGGTGAGGTGGGATTTAATTAGTTATTATTTTTATGTTTTTTTTTTATTCATACTCGTCATAATTATAGATCGTTCATGTTTTTATTAATTCCTTGAATAGTAAAATATGTGTGAAACAGTTGAATACATGAAGTTTACAACTAGCTGAGAAACATCGTGTAAGATTGTTACAACTTTCTCAGTCTATAATGACCCTGTTTTATCTACCGAATATTGGACAGCTTTATTAGTTATGTATAATATCTTTGTTGTATTTATTTCTGTATGATACACTTATGACAAACAACCAAACACCGACACTTCTGATGAACCATGATGCTTTTGTTGTTTTATATCTTTCGTATTATTGGTCGTTTTATAAATAGTGGTTACACAATGAGTGGTTGTTGAGTATGGTATTTATTTCACTCGAGTTAGTTAATTTTCAAAAGTTACAAAAGACACGAGCTTTAGCGAGTGTCTTTCTGTAACTTTTGAAAATTAACTAACGAGAGTGAAATAAATACCATACTCAACAACCACGAGTCGTGTGATCTGTTTCTACCACAATCTCATGATCAGTCGGAAATAACATACACACATGTGTTTGTTGACAAGGCTGGCGTAGTGATATGACCCATATGTAAAAAGTCACTCATTAATAATAAAAAATGACTTCTTTTTTTTTACAAATTTCATAATTGTCAAAATTTATGTTTCGGTAACNTGAATTCTTTTTTTTACAAATTTCATAATTGTCAAAATTTATGTTTCGGTAACAACTTCATGAAAAATATAATAGATGAACGACTTTAAATATTGAGAGTAGCAGTATTGCATTAATTTTTATAAATTAACCACGGACTATATGCGCGTAAGCATATCGTACGAAGTCTGCCTCCCGCCAAGTGATGAAGACGACGTTATCGCTGTCAATGTCCAAAACCATAGGCCTACGTTTCTTCGTGGCGGTTCTATGGTTGACGTTTATAGTGAAAGTTCAGCCATAGTCAGACCCTCCAAATAGCGATAACGGGACGTTGGGAGAACGAAATATTTTCCGACACTGTGACAGATCTTGTTTTGGTTTCACGACCTGGACACGCGACGGTGTGACGTCGAAACGATATCGAGCGTTTGTAGCAATTTTGCCTGAAACTAGTGATCAAATCTTTAAGTACCATCTTCTTTTAATATTGCCATAATAATCCCCTTTTCCGCATAACCTCACAAAGTCACTAACATTTGTCGGATGTTGACAGCAGACGACGTAAACAAAACAGCATGTGGCAAAAAGCGCGTGGAAAAAGTCGTCCTGGTCAAAGATCATCTTCTTGACCAATCAAAACTCTTGAAGGTCATATACCACGTGTGGTATATAACTCATATTTATCTAACAGTCTGCGTGCTTATACAATGATCTGAGAGTGGAATAACACAGCGTTTTGTGGTAGAAGCTTGTTTAGCTATAACTATGTGTACAAATCCTATTGTAACTTGACAATTGTGAACCGTTTACGGCATTAGTCAAAAAGTGGTTCACCAAAAGTACAACTATAGCTGGAAAGATTCGGTGCTGAAGGGGCAAAACAAGGGGATTAAGCATGCACATTTGATGATAAATAGTGTATTATTTAAGTTTTACATTTTTGTAGTAAGTATATCCGTCGGATCCGAAACTCAGTGATCCGCTTCTTGCATATCAAAGATAGTACACTAGCTTAAAGATAGTTGTACATTCGGTTTACGATAAAAATGATTTAAGAGCTCGGTTTTATGATACGCTGTGCATCACAGTAATATTCACATCATGTCATCTTTCTATTTACACAACACGCACCGATTGTCAATCTCAAAACACTGCTCTTCTTATATATGGAATGTCGTCTAAAACACGTTAACAAATAGTTAGACATCCCCAAGATGTTTATTTTATCACATCACTTACACATGATTCTGTATTAACAGGAAATCATTAAATCCATTATAAACGTAAGTTTTGCATTTAATAAACATGAAGCAGCTTCTAAATTGTTTAATATACGAGATTACAAATGCAGTGTCAGACCACTAAAAAGTCTAATCTGAAACAGCTAATTTAAAATTTAACTCCATTTTATTGGCGCTTTAATCTCAATAAACATTCGAAAGGGAAATCCAATCATTTTTAAAATTTATGGAATGAGACACACTCAACATGATGTTTATTATTTTGTTTTATAAGCAAAAATCTATTTCAAGTATATGCAATCCTACATATCTTGGTTATATAAAGAAATATCCCCATTTTTTTTACTTGACTTTTTAATGGAACCTTTGTGAAACGAAAAAAGGAACTTTGTTTACCTTTATGATTATACACGTATACATACAAGTACTTATTCGTCTTTTTGTAAAATGTAGAGCAGTACTCACCTGATGATACAGCCCCTTCTTTATCCACCAACCCTGCTCGAATCTGAGCCTATGAAATGTAAGGTATAGAAATCATATAATGTTCAGTGTATTATTACAGTGCCATAATGAAATAAATGAAATGAAATGAAATACAATATGAATTTTTCATTACTTCAATAGAAATCGTCCAACAAGAACGAGCCAATCGGTTGGGACATATAGAAGATCAACTTAAGTTACAATGTCTAAAATATGTTGTTCATGACACAGTTTGGAACAACATATTGTTGTAGATTTTCTCATTGTCGCAAGGACTTTTTCGTTCTTTGTGTAAAATAAAACATTGAAAATACAAGAACATGTTGTTAAACCAAACTGCTGAGACGGATAGGATACACCCTATTTGTAATTTGATAAATAGAATATTTTCTAGAAGAGTCATTTTCGTATATTTTGATCATAACGCACCTTTATATTACTCAAGTTATCATTAGGTGTTTGTAGTGTTAGAACCAGGCAATGGTCATGTTTTACCTACATTTTCTGCCTCCTTTTTCCAATCAGTACGTAATATCCTGACGAAGTAAATAAATGTCTGTAGGGCACTGCTGACAATGACTCCCCACCACGCACCTTCAACACGACACAGTTAACTAGTATATATTGTATACCACACAAGTGTCAGTCCAATAACTATAGTATATAAATACAGATAG